TTGATCTTTACCTTGTCCCCTTGGGGCCATGTGAAATTCTCTTTAGAGTCTAGCTACGATATTCAAGATAAATCACATAATTCTAAGTCTGAACGCCATAATAAGATTTTATTTTCATCCTTCGGGGTGATATAATTTTTCGAGCGAGCTGGTTCGACTTTTAGAATTAAGATTCAACCTCAATTCTAATTCCCAAAGAAAACTAATATTTTTCAAAACCCATTTTCAAAATTCCACCAACAATCGGCCAGGACGATATTTGGATCGGCCTGGATGATCGAGTTTAAAACAAAGATTCCATTCAGGATTCTTAATTAAGATAGCCATCATTAATAAATTAGCCTGGATGATACATGTATCGGCCAGGACGATAAGCTCAAAATAGAAAGAAATAGCCGCCTTATTCATTTTGGGTTTATTGTATTTTTGGCAATCGGCCAGGACGATCTTGGATCGGCCTGAACGATAATACATAATTATGCCTAAATTGAACCAGTAATCAAGGAAGTAATTAAGGATGATTGATACGATCGCAGGATCGGCCAGGATGATCTATTCAAAAACCTTTATTACTTCTGGACGATAAATATCAGCCAGCACAAATTCAGGGCGATGTGCTGGACGATCGGGATCGGACAGCTTGAATTCAGGGCGATGCTTTGGATGATTTTCTTCTAATTTGTACTGATCGGCCTGGACAATCATGAGATCATCCTGGATGATCAAGCCAATTTTCAATCGTCCAATTTGCATTCAGGGTGATACTCAGGCCGATCTCAGGGGATTTGTACTGATCGGCCAGGACAATATCCATATCGGCCTGGACGATATTGCCGGCAACTTGTAATTAATGAGCTCCTTTGAAGCTCTTCTATTTAAGAGCTCTTGTTCATTGTTTTTGCACATCTTTGGCTGCTGTCTTGACCTGAGAAAACCTAAAGGAGAGAGAAAGGGAGAGAGAGAGAGAGAGGATCTTGTGAGGGGGAGATTGTGAGGGGAATCACAAGGGTTGCTCCAAGAAGTGTTCCACTTCTTCTTCCCTAGAGTATCTTGTCCTTGGAAGGGTTGGGAGAGGTAAGTTCCAGCAAGCGATCGAGGTTCTCTGCCTGCTTCAGGAGGAAGCAAAAGGAGGAAGGTTCTCTGCCTTGCCGGGTGTGTCAAAAAGAGGTGTTTGTAGAGGCTTCTCCGCCTAGCTATGGGGGCTAAAAGAGAGTCACGATTGTAGTGCAATACTCAGAGGGCGCCTCCGGGGAGTGGACGTAGGTCGAGTTGACTGAACCACTATAAACCCGTATGTTCTTATTTTTATTGCTTCAGCATTTATTTCTTCCGCACTTTTTTGTGGTGATTTGGTTTGTACTCATGCTTTGCCTAAAGATTTTTTAAAATACCAATTCACCCCTCTTGGTTAGCCTTGGGCCAGTTCTATAGGGCTTAACATCCCTAACGAACTTTCAAATCAGCTTTAACGTGTCCTAGCTTCCTACATTCAAAATAAATCATATCATTAGAACTCTTAAAATTTTTGTTTCCCTTACCTTTATTCCACTTTTGATGGTTCTTTTTCTTTTTTCCTTAAAAAACTTTTAAATTGCTTTGTAATTAAGGCAACATCATCTCTTTCAGACCCGACAGAATTAGTGTCCGTATGTTGGCCTTCAGTGCCACAATTTTCTCCTTCTTTTTTTCACCTGCATCAAGATTTCTTGGATTCACCCCTTGCTCGTAAGCAATGAGTGATCCAAGTAAGTTATCAATCGAATATGTATTCAAATCCTTAGATTCAGCAATTGTAATAATCTTAGCATCGAAAGAGGAAGGCAAGCATCTTAAAATTTTATTCACTTTTTCATATTTAGTGAGTTCTCATCCTAAGGCATGCAAAGAGGTAATAATTTGGGTAAACCTTGTATACATTTCAGAAATTGATTCAGAAGATATCATATAAAAAAGTTCATAACCATGCAATAAAAGATTCAATCAAGATTGCTTAACTTTATTTGTTCCTTTATAAGTAATACACAATTTATCCTAAATCTCTTTACCAGTAGCACAAGTAGAAACACGCATGTAGTCTTCATATTTTAAAGCACAGAAAAAATAGTTCAAATATTTTACATTAAGTTATGCTGAATCCCTATCATCAAAAGTACATTCAGTAAAAGGAAGTTCGGTTTTAATGCCATTAATTTTACTTGAAGAAGGTGAATAACCTTCTTTAATAAGCATCCACATGCGATAGTCAATCGATTGTAAAAACTTAGACATGCGAGTTTTCTAAAAAACAAAAGGAATATTGACAAATAAAGGTGGTCGGGTAAAAGAATACCCTTTCGCAGTATTATGATTACTGGAGTTAGCTATGGATCAAAAATTCAAAAAAAGTTTTCAAAAACTCATTTTTATGAATCCCGCTGTGATACCAGTTGAAAGTTCATTAGGGATATTAAGCCCTTATGAACTATCCCGAG